AGGGGTACTCCGGGATATACACCAGGGCAACAAATGTCGAGCATACGACGATGCCGCCCGTTTTCATTTCAGTCCCCGGCAGAGGAAAGGGCTGTAGGTGATGGCGCGTTCTGCTTCTTAGGGCGCAGAAATCGTTCCTATGGAGTCGTGCGTGGCAGCTGGTATAGATGGCGGGCGGGCCGCTTTAATCGGGACCTATTCTATTATCTTAATAGGCGGCAAGCAAGAATAGGAAAGGGGGCGGCTGATGAGTGCCTTTTTAGTCAGAAATAGAAAAAGGGTTGAATGTGGAGCTAACATGGCTGGCTACAAGTATAGCCAAAGAAAGATGATAGAGACGGGACGGACTGTCAGAGGCCGCAGCGGAACGACCAGAGGAAAGCCCGCCCCCGCTAGCTAACAGAGATATCTCTTCTCGGTGCGCATATTCTCTCTTTCTTGATAATCTATTCCCGACCAGGCCAGGCCGAATCGGGCCACCACTTGGGTTGGGGAAACACAGCACATGAGTAGTTCGTTCAAGGACCACACCCTCTCGAGAGCAGGATGCTGGCCGAGATGGAGCTGGGAGCCAACCTAGACTTTAGACTTTCCTTGGGCTTGCCTTGCCCCACCATCTAAAGAAAGGGCGGGCGCCGAAAAGGAACCAGTGACGCCTTTTCGACGAAAGCTTAGCTTGGTAGGCGCTGCTTACTCACCCTATTCCCTCAGACAATGCCCTGAACACGAAAGTTTGCAGTTCCGCCCCCTTTTCCCATGCGGAGTCACAGGCAGCGCCTCGGAAAAAAGCACGGACGAGCCACATGCAGATGCAGGGAAACTTGCACGTGTTGGTTCTGGCCGGGGACCCCGGTATACTGTACTAATATGTGTAGGTCCCTGTAATTCGAGTGAGATTGTCATGGCGCAAAAGCAGATATGGTCCGGTATTCCCTTATTCCCCGTATTTGTTATGTTCTTTATTTCTCGTCTAGCAGAAACTAATCGAGCTCCGTCTGATCTCCCAGAAGCGGAAGCTGAATCAGTTGCGGGCTATAATGTTGAATATGCGCGGGATGCGATCCTGAATAATTCACTGTTGGCGGAAGCCAATGTCCCGGGGTCCCGGGGACTCATTCTGACTGAAACAAGGGGTGGGTCTTTACCAACTTCCAAATCCAGGAAGAAAAAAGAGGGGCAGGGCACTCTTCATTCGAAACTCATGAATGTCGGGGGTTTCTGCCTTGTTCTCAAAAAGGGGAGTTGGGTAAAGCAAACTCCCTCCTTGGACGAGCACGGGCTTAGTCAAGTAGAATCGGGTTGCGCTGCTTGATGCTCCAATCGAAAACAAATCAGTGGGGCCAGATTTCCCTCATTGACCCAAGAACCAGTGACATGTGATTAGATAAAAAAAAGAGTATACACCACTCAACACATCACATGTCAACATCTTGATGACCATGAACGTTGAAGAGGTCGTTAAGTGGTCAAGGCCTTTAAAAGGTTCAAATGGTTGAAACCAATCTCAATATTGTCATTTATATTGTGCAAAAGGTCATTCAAAAGAAAGATATTTTATTTAAAGAAAAAAATTGAACGCATGATACAACAAGGTTACCTGAGCTGCTACTTACAAGAATGACGTGGGGACAATCAGAAGAAAATTTTTAGGATTATCAAATGAAAAGTATAACTACATATTTTCTTATTTGAGCAAAAGAATTTTTTTCTTTCATCGTAACATATAGTTTTCTAATTTTATTTCTAGAAAAAAATTCACAGTTGCTTTAATGAACTATTTTTTAGTGCATTCTCTTTATTTTCATTTAAGTCTTCTTTATTCTCTGTTGAAAGATGTTATGTGTAGAATCTTAAGGGAAAACGTCACCCTGGTTACCTTCGTCACCAAAGCGTCACGACTGTTTCCAAAGGCACTAGTCATCTCCGGGGCCCAAGAAGTCTACGCACGTAGGAATGACCACTACATAAGCCACGTCTGGCTGAGGCGAGCAGCAAGCGGGGGAGAGTCAAGTCAAGCACTAGTGAGTTGGGGTGGGACGCAAGTACTGAAACTAGGGTTGCTTCTTAGCGCTAATCTTGCGTTTTTCAGCAGGCGCTAGTTGTAGCGCGCTAGCGCGCCTTCCCTCCTTCTCTCACTTCGGAAAAATTGGGCAGTCTTTTCTTATGTCTCCACCCATATCTCTGAAAGATGAGGCTAAAAGAAAAGTCTTGATGGGAAGCTAGTAGTGGATACATTCCTCGCTAGAAAGTCCATTTTAGGGCAAATGACAGGCAAGGAATCCACCCTACCCCTAGAATACGAGCCTTGGAGACAAGTCTCGATGGAAATCTGGTAGTGGATATATTTCTCATTAGAAAGACCCATTTAAAGTAAGTAACAAACAAGGTTTTGATGCACAAAAAAATATGCATTTTTAGACCTATAGTTTATACCCATTTTTGGTGATATTGCACTTTAAAATAATATATTTTTCATGTTTTCTTGTAGGTTGTTGATTTT